TGCCTTGCATTATGTAAAAAGCAAATAATAAGCATACAATGAATGAATTGCATGTATAATTAATATACTGAATTAATAAAAAATACTAAAAAAACAGTGGAGTGCAAAACTTTTAGACAACCTTGGTAAATTAATTAACTTCATTAATTGTTCCTCCAAATTGAGAGTGATTAGCTGTATGCTTTTCTTGGTACATTTTATCTTTGATGGTCAGAAAACAAGTTATTTTATTTTTGTTAGTGCTGTATGGTGGATAATAAAGCATCTTAAGCATAGTTATACTGAAAAAAGGCAACCAGAAAAAAAAATTTGCCTTTCAGTTCTTTTCTTAAATTAAAAAGTTCATTTTTTTTTTTTTTTTGCAAAAAATGATCTTTATTATTACAGAAAGTACAAAATGTCAAAGTATGCAGTTAGTAATTAGTGTTGCTGCCTTTGGCTCGAATAATTGCCTCAATTCGATGTGGCATTGATTGTAACAAGGTTGAGACTTTCTCATTGGGAATTCTTACCCTATTCTTCTTAGTAGTAATCCCAAAGCTCTTGGAGATTGTGGTTTTCATTGGAGCACATTTTTCTTCAATTCCCACCACACTATTTCAATTATCTTGACAACAGTATTTTATGCTGGCCAGTCTTCTAAAATTTGAACATCTTCATCCACAAGAAATATTTTTGTTGCATGTGATGTGTGGCAAGGAGCATTGTCATACTGAAAAAATTCTCCATCTTTGTAATCTGGCAGAAGATTAAACCATAGTAAACTAAAACACTGTTTAAGTTTCCATCAGATTTTACCAATTTTCTTCTACCTATGTTTTTGATGCAATTCCACACCATTATGTATATACCACCAAATTTTACTGTCTTTATGGTGTTATCTTGCATTGTTTCTTTCTACCATTGGTCTTCTTATATAGTGTCTTGCATTAAAATGTAACCATTTTGCATTATTCACTAAAATTTTTTGCCATTTTCCAGCATCCCATGTTAGATGTTCTTTAGATCACTTCAATCTTCTATTCCATTGTTTTTTGATTAATGTTTTTTTTTCTGCTATACACCCACTCAAGTTGTTTTTTTTTTTTGTAATTTTTCTGTATAATGTATCAACTAAAACCTCACTATGAAGACTTCATTCACTCCTCCTTGTCTGGCTCTTAATTCCCTACTGAAACTCTCACAATCTTCCTTTTGTCTTTCTTGTCTAATTTTTATGGTTTTATTTGCACTTCCAGTTGTAGCAAATGTTTTTTGGATAGTTTGAACATCGTTTCTGGTTTGGTTTGGTGGCATATAAATCTCAATGGGTTATTTAATTCCAACAAAATTTTTATTGTGGATGTTTTTTTTTGTTTTTTTTTTTTCAAAAAAGTATTTCTGGTAATAATTTCAAAAAAGTATTTCTGGTAATAATTTCAAAAATGTATAGTTGGTAATATTTTTTTTTTTTAAAGTATTGATGGTAACAATTGTTTCCTTCAAAAATTTATTGCCAGTAATAATTTTTTTACAAAGTATTTGTGGTATTAAAACCTATTTTTACACTTTCATAGTATTTTGACCCCAGTTTGGGGGTTAACTATTTTTCATTAGCTGGGACCTTAACAGGTGCTACCACCCCAGGTCAGGGTGGATCTGAGAACACCAGCATTTAAGAGGTGGTCCATGCTCCCAAAAATCTCCTGAACAAAGGCCTTGCTGTCAGATGTAGTTTACTGTCTTACCCAGGACACGGATGTAGTTTATCGTCATACGCAGAATGGCATTGTTTCTGGAAATTCTCAGCTGCCTGGCTATCTTTCATTGAGTCATCTTCTTCAAAGTCACAAACTATATCTGTTTGAGCAGAAATTTTAGCTATGATTTTAGTGCAAAAAAAGCAAGTTAATGATCAACTACCAACTTGCCAATGCACCATGTAGTCATGTTAATAAGATGGAACAATTCCTACATAGAAATTTGTATACTTTATCATCTCAGATCTTTCATTGGTCCAGTAATTTTGCATGGCCCTTTTCTCCTGCGCCAAACTGCTAAATAATCCTAACTTAATAAAATAAAGGTGTATAATCATCTTAATGTAATTGGCCCCAAACTTTTGTACGCCACTCTAGGAGTTAACTTAAAAATTCATTTCACTGGAGGTAAGAAATAATATGAAATCATGATATAGGAATCCTTCAATTAGTGCAGCTAATTTGTACATCTGTAACTATAAAAAAATCAATTTTCAATTACTATGGTTAAACTGAAGAATGTTTTACTGTACTAATCAAGTATTATGCATGCACTAATCGAATTTAGATATATAAAATCAAAAACACATTAATCAAGGCATGCCTGTAGTCAGTTATTTAAATTTAATCCATGTTATGTTATTTTTTAAAAATTTTTTTCTTTTTACTGACTAAAACATTCCCAAGAGAGAAAACATTTACAAGGATTTCTGGTTACTTGATTAAAAATAAAATGTAAGTCAGATAAATTTAGAAAGCACAGAAATCAATCAAAAGTAAAATTATCAAAGCAATATTCATTAACAGAATTAAAAATGTATACAAGATAGTAATTAATGATATACTTACAAAAACTAATGTTTTATCGCTGTCGTCAGATGTGTTTGTATTTACATCTCTATTAAAAACAAAGAAAACATTTCCTTTCAGAAAATTTAAAAAAAAAAAAGTTAACATTTTAAACTCTTTTCTCTAAATCTTTATTGTCAAGCTCAGAGACAATTCATCGATTTACATTCTAGTTTCAAATAGAATGGGTGGTTGGAATAAAAGAGGTAGCTGGATTAATGAAAGGGATGGTTGGAGTAAGCATGCTCTGGTTGGTTCACTCCACCAAAAAAAAAAAAAAATAAAAAATAAAAAAGAGGAATAATTGTCTTGGCCCAGGTACTTAAACTCAAAGGTATACATATATAAAGTAATAGTAGTTACATCTCAAATATTATCTAATACATGCTTGCTTTAAATACTGTCAAAATGTTTGTTATTTCTGTATGATGTACACATTCTTCCCTGAATGCATTAAATTCTGTAAAATATGTCAATCTCGGTGATATGCCTCCAAAATGATGCTTCTAAAAGTTTTATTTTACATGCCCCCCCCCAAAAAAAAAACCCCACTTCATTTAGTTTTTCTTTAGTCAGCTACGTGCCATGCATGATACACACTTAGGCGATCATGTCTTTCGATACATGATTGATGAGACAGATTTTTTTTTCCTACACTAGGTTGCCTAGAGTAGACCAGTTGCCATCCAAGGCTATAGAAGCCGGTCTGTCCTGCTATTTACCCATAACTGGGGGCGGAGAAGAGGATTCATACCTTTCCCAAGGGTATTAGCATGTAAGTGAATGTAATGAATCCGACTGGAATTCAAATTTGGTTCCCCAATTCCTCAATCCAAGCTGCTATCCATTACTCCACAGTCTTTTCTTAGGCAGGAAAAAAATTCTATTAAACAAAACCAACTTCCATATGCATGATTATTTTGAACGCTAAGAAATGTTTCTAGGATTAAATTTTTTTAGCCTTTTCTTCATCTTACTATTTTTTTTCTGGTGGTGGGGAGATCCTTTGACTGCATTAAGTAAGGATAAAGAAATGATTTTGGAAAAGCTTGAATTCCTGCCACAAATCTCGGTATCTTGTCTTTCACAGGTGATGCATTAACTTATTTAGCCACAAAAGCCTCCAGACAGACTGTGCTTAAATCTACAGTCACATTGTCACTTCTCTATTCCAAATCTTTATAATAGCTTTGAAGTATTTGAATTCTGAGATTAAATAATATTGATTGTTTCGAGAGACGTAATTAATATGCTCAGTATTTCCGTCTGAATTTCTGGGATGAGGAGTTATCATTATTTACATTCAGACTATTGTCCTTATCATTTTCAACATCATGTTTTGGTTGTCAGGGCCCACAGCATGTTTCAGGTGCTTGTTGATCTGGATAACCTTCAGGGAAGGTAAAAGCTAACCCTTTATTTAATTGTCAGGGATAGATCGTTCTCACCCTGTTTCCAGAATCTTAATCTGGACTACTTGGCACCAGGATTGAACTCACATTTACTACATCACCAAATTCATGAACCAACACTTTAATCCACTATGCTATTGACCCATGGGATACTCAGCAATGTTTAGGCAATTGAACCCCCACCACCACCTTTGCACAATTACTATTAATACAATGTATTGTGTAAACCATAGATCAATTGGATTAGTCTGATTAACATATTCATAATCATTTTTCCATTGAAAATTTCAGTATTTCTCCTTTAAGAAAGGCTTTTTTTCACCACTTTCTTTTTCTTGATGGAAAAATGATAGCTAGGGAACTGACCAGCTGAAATGTGTTTATAACAAAAAGTATACAAAGGAATGGCTCAACTGTCCAAACTATATTGGGAACCGGAAATTAAGCATTTTCATTATTAATTTTTGACTTATTTAACAATCACAAAATGTTGAATACCTTCTGACAAAGTAGCATGAAGTAAGAATAACATAGAAGTTCCCAACAAGACTTCAAGTCACATATCAGAAGAATGTTTTTCACAGCTAAGATTGATTGATTGATTGATTGTTTTCTTTAGCTTATCCACACTTTGCAGGTTAATTAAAGACAGAAAATATTTTTAGTTGTAACAATTTTTATGGAAGATAATGATTTATTGATACAAGTCCAACTAATTGACCCATAGGTTTGTGTCTTTACGGCCTATCAACAATTTGCATGATATTTAAAGCCAAAAAATATTTTTAGATTGTAGGAATTTTCTTTTTTGAGATAATGATTTACTGATACAAGAATTACTAATTTATTAACTCTTAGCTGGATGGAGAAGGAGTCGATTCATACCATTTCCAAAGGTATTTGTGCATGAGTGAATAAAATGAATCCAACTGGAATTGGAACTTGATTTTCCGATTAACAATTCTGAGCCATTATCCATTACACCACCCATACACTCAAGCTTACAACACCTGGTATTCCCAAGCAGTCACCCATTTAGGTACTGACCAGCCTAGATATTGCTTAACTTAGGTGATTTTATGGGAACTGGTGTTTCAATGTGATATGGCTGTAAGCCTTCATAGGCAAAAGTTTAACAAATTCGGCCATAAAAGCCGATGGCTACACAAATTTAATTCTAAGACTGTCACTGGGACACCCACAGAGAAGTGGTAAATGTGACTTTATCTTGACCTCAAGTGTTTCTGTTTTATGGCTAGCAGATGGGAGTTTTCAAAGTTAATTTTCTAAGTTGCACCCACTTAACCAAAGATGGGGTGGGGAGGAGAAAAATATAAAGAAAAAAATAAAGAAAAAATAGATTTGGGGATTGAAGGACAACAAAGCCAGACATTGATGATTTCCCGTCACTAGTCTATATTAACACTCATGCTTGGGATTGAGGAAGTCAGTTCTGTCTTCACTAGCAGAGGACAGACTATCCTGCAGGTAGTTCCAATGCCACCCATATGTCATAGATAAGCAGCAGGTGGTAGGAGAGAAGAACTGAGCTGTTATGGCAGAAGATGGCCCAAATGTCACCTATCTACCCAGCTAGACTATGTAAGGAAATCCCTGAATAAAACATCTATTAAATATGTTGGAAACAAGGTTTGAGTTCTCATTTCTCAACATGGCATTTGTTTCTGTCTTTTGTTATCTTGCAACCATGCAACAGGCTTTTCCCAGTTTTCCATGTACACCAATATGAATGAGAATAGAGATGCAACGTAGGATAGTCATTGGCCAGTCGGTGGAAAACTGGGTGAGGGTCTCATTGTAGGTTTAGTTTATTATATATTACCAATTCTACTACACTACAGTTACTCAGTAAAATTGTTAAATTAATATTAACTATCAGGGCCAGTGCATACTACTCCCAACATGGGGGTGAGCCTGTTTTTTTTTTTTTTTGGTGGGGTGCTGGACAGTGCTTTATGACGCTTGCTATCTTACCAACATTTACTTTCTTTCTACCTACATTTATATACATTACAAATGATTATTAAAAGATGAAAATTTTTTGCAGATTTTGACATTATTCTAGGTCTTTTTTTTTTGTCCAAATTCATAAATTTGTTTTGCTCATGCAAGGTCTTGAAAACAAAAAAAAAAAAACAAACAAAAAAAAACACAGAAAACAAAAAACTATAAAACTAATTTTATCCTTAATGTTGAATGTGTTAAAATTTGACTTTAAAATTAGAAAAATCTCAAGTTGATATTAAAAATTGCTGCAAAACCTTGCCAATTTAAGATGTAATGATCTATTATGACATATCTCTAATTTGTATTTAGATACATTGTATTTATTTTCCATTTTTCTAGTTGAATTGTTCACCTATATTGTGTATTTGTACATAACTATGTTAGAATAAAATTTGTATTTTATATGAATACTACCTTATGAAAATTGAGATGTAGTGGAGTGTGTGTATTACCTGATTTTTGCTTACTGGTTATCTTCACAAAAGAAGAGAGATTTCACTTTTAATGTGTGGATAAGAAATACTTACACATCTTGTTGCTTGTTGTCAAGACTTCTGGTCAAATATGGATCTATGACACCATCAACCACATCTAATAGAAGAAAGAGATTATCATTAATTCCAAAAAAGAAAATTAAATTCAAATCTTGTAGGCAAGTAACAATTTAAAGAGAGATACCGATTCATAAATATAACAGTCAAAAATCAACAGTTCCATCAGACTCTACAGAAAAAATATCTAGCAACATAGTTTTACTGTATTTTATATAAAAATTGATTTGTTATAAATTTGATTTTCCAGGAAATTGTAAAAGAAAAAAAAAACCCAAAATTCTCTAATGAAATGGTTTACACATTAAATCTCAAGAATCATTTAAAGATTAAGAAATCCTAACTGATTATCAATCCACCATATATCAATTCATTTAATGATTATATTAATCAAATCTTAGCAGATTTCCAAAAATGATGTCAGATTTTATAAATTTAATAAAAGCACAACATATGAGTATTTTTTTTTAAATTTATGTTGACACATTCTCAGACTAAAGAATATAGTAATCTCAGATTTTCATAGGTTATTATTAAATTTATCAATAACAAGAGTATTGATAAAAACGATACAAATAAACAAGCTTTATAGACAAATGAAAATTATTCAGACATATTTACAATGTCTGACACTGACAGACTGCATATAAAGTTATAGATCATTTTAAAAAATTCATGCTATGAAATTTTAATGAGAAACTGATACACTTCCCTTTTTTTATTTAAACATGATAGAAATTTTTCTCTATTCAATCTTAGGTAAATTAGATTCATAAATTTCATATTTATATCAATTTCTGTAAGCATATTGAAACAAATCAATTTGGAACTTTTATAAATCACAATTTATGAATTTAAAAAATTAAGATTTCAGAGAAAGTGAAGTCATTTTGTTTCATTGATTAGTAAATGAATAATCTTTTACGTTCAAATATTACTAAGTAACCTTTAGCAATATAAAAATTCAAGTCCCATTTATTTGTAAGTTTAACTGCAACAGGCTAAAAAAAAAACAAAAAACAAACAAACAGGATTCAAATGATATTTACAATATACAGGATTAAATTAAAAAAAAACAAAAACACCTGTGCTTGTGTGCATTTGAAGGACTATTTGAGGAGACAGCAAGCATTTTTCATAATAAACCCAATTGGTAGTATTTTTTGCAGGCCAAGAACAAACACAAAGCAAAACTATGACTATTAAAGTTATGTAATATAGTCATATCTTATATAGTGGATTTTTTTGATTTTTTTTAAAGATAAAATCAAAGTCAAACTAATCTATGTGCAGATTAAAGCCTGCTTCAGTTTTTAAAAATGTCTTCTCAGATAAATATATGATGCTGAATTGTCAAGCAAAGGATGATAAGAAAAGAAGAATATCCCTCATCTGGAGGCATGTGTAAAAGTTATTATTTTTTTTTTTTTTGTATTTGCTTTTTAGAATGTCATTGGACTGCAGGTTGATCACATTTAATTGTAGAGTATATAGGAGGTCATTAAGGATACATAAACAAAAGAAATTTAATTTATACATAACAACATTAAAAGGGAAAATAATATTTTAAAAAAAATGATATAAAAAAAAAATAATGTTTTCAGAATAATAGCATATTTCATATGGTCTGTGGACCAGATGAAATCTCATAGCAGGCCAGATTTGGCCGATGGGACATACTTTGCCTATACATGGCCTAATTTATAATAACTTACTTTTCTTAAAAAAATGAAAACCTGAACTGATTCAAAAGATTTTTTTTTTGGCCAGGATGTGGCTCCAGTTTCTGATGTGTATAATATACAAGACTGATTAATGTAATTTTATATCAACTGATTTTGTTTTAAGCAGATTTTTAGTTATTAATCCAAACATTTAACTTTTTTTTTAAATATTTAAAAATTTTGTTACAGAATCTTGCCCAACTAGAAAAAGAGTAGCAAATATGTAACTGTCCAAAGGTAATCTAAAACAAAGTTATGGGATTTGGGTTATATCTCACGAATCTGCGAACCATGGGGTGGATGTACTATGACCTACATTACTATTGGCATTTAATAGCAAATACAAAATCCTGATACTTATATTGCAATGTTTTACCTTTTTGAATCAAAACAAGCATTTATTGCCAACTTTCTAATGCAGAAAATAAGCTGTATATGTGAAATAATAGGGTAGACTGAACTCTTCAAGCTTAGGTGTTGTCGGCCAGTCAGAGGAGGACAACTTTGAATTCAAAATTATGGAGGCTATAAGAAGAAACAACTGCACTATCTTCCCAAAGAACTCATACCAACTCACAGATAAAGAAAAGTGAACTATAGCGATGACTGCTAGAACTCTGAAAGGACAAGGCATTAAAAAAAAAAAAAATCAAATACTGAAGAAACATGAACTTTTATGTGAGACAACCACATCTAATAGAAGAAAGATTATCATTAATTCCAAATTATTCAGGGACATCACACTTCTTTAGACTATTATAAATAGAACTAATGGTTGTAAATATATACAGACAGAAAAACTGCTATATGTGATTAGATCATCAGAGATAAGAGAAGATCATATTCAGATCTTATTAGTGATAAGTTCTGAAGTAAATTATTATAACTTCCAGTTCCGGGGGAGTGTTAACAAAGATTAACAATTATACGATTTAAACAAGTACAGCATAGAACTTCAATTACTTAACTCAAACGAAAGATATAACTTACAGATGAATGCCACATGTGTAACCAAAGGCAAGTTTATGAACTCATGCAAATATATTAAAACAAACACTGAAAAAAATTGACTTCCCACAAATAAAAGTATATGCAACCATTAAGTACGAATCATTCTTATAGCTGTTTAATGCAGTTCTTAGAATTATTTATAGAAGCAATGAAATTAAGAAAAAATATGATGGAAATTAAAGCAATTACAAGATGGATACTTAGATAATAGTGGATTAGCAAATGAGATTAGTAAAGTGAAATTTGGTTTAGCTGTTTTTCCAAGTTACCTTTCTCCTAATCTTTTATAAAGTAATTTTTGTTTTTATAGGAACATCTCCAGGAATCATTGCCAAGGTAAAGTTTTATTATGCAAGTCAACATTTTCATAAAAATGTTTAGTTTATAGTTTGTTTGTTTGTTTAACAGCAGATCAACTCCTTATGGGTCATTTAATGCCAAAATTTACTTTCCTTGGGAGTTATACGTTTTGTTGAATACAAAAACAGATTGGTGGTAATTTTTTTTTTTTACTATGAAAATGTATTGCTCGTATTTTTATACCTTTATAGTGTTCCAATTTTAGTCTGGGAATTCACTATTTGCTCTTAGCTGGGACCCTGAATAAGGTACTACCACCATGGGTCAGGGTGGACCAGGAAACAACAAAAAATTAAAAGGTGGTTCCATGCTTCTCAAAACCTCCCAGTCAGAGGCTTTGCTGTCAGATGTAGGTTATAGTCATACTCAAGTTGGCATAAAAATGTTAGTGAATATATAATATGAATTTCAGCTGATATCTTTTTTTTTTTATTAGGAA